TATTTTTTGCTTGTTTTTGTAATTCTAATTTGCCTATAACTTTTAAACTAAAGCGAAATTTGAGAAAAGAAAACTTTAATTAAGTTTTCTTTCTACGTTCAGTGCGCTCAGGATCGTTGCAAATTAAAAATCAGTCAAAACGTTCAGTGCGCTCAGGATCGTTGCAAATTAAAAATCAGTCAAAACGTTGTTGCAGGGCCCCTTTAAGCCATCATTGTATACATTGATCTCTAATTACAGCAAAACGCAGATTTATATTTGAATAAATATAAATCTGCATTTTTTCTTTTAGATATAAATTGTTGTGTGTATGTTTATACAGCCGGAAGTTAGTCTGTCTTTCTCTTATAGCGAGTTCGTTTCATGGCACTCGTGCCCACGCGTGCCCACTCGCAGCGTGGAACGGGTTCATTTCGGCCGGCACTCCACGAGTGGTTGCACTTTCCGAGTTCGTTTCAGCGCTGACACCCCACGCGTGCTTGCACTCGCTGCACCGAGAAAATCGGGAGTGCGCCAAAATGCAATCCCGTCATGCCTTGCTCCGGTGGGGCCGGCGAGGAGCGGGAGCAGACGACGAGGGTTCGTCTGCTACAATGTGTCGCGGAACCGAACGGGGAAAAAAAAAAAAAAAAAAAAAAGTAGATTTTCTGACAGAAATCGCGTCCTGCGGGAAACAAAATCAAACGCAAGCTTGAATTGTGAGCGTCTGCTATTTCACGGAGGAAGCAATTGGCAACCCCTGATTTATTTGCAGGATCGCTCTGTTGCCGTACAACGCTGAAATATACCAGTGTGTAAAGAAATGCTCAGAACAAACGCAACAGTGGCCCCCGAGATGTCGATCACCATCCGTGTGCGGGTGAAAAATTAACATTTGTCGATAAAACTCCCCCAGCAGAAACCTCTGACTGCCCAATAAGCATCAGAGAAAGCTAAAGATGGTGACTTTACCCGAGGATTGGGCAACATCATGTTTAACATTTACCTACGCAGCTAACTTGCCCCGTCGTAGTTTGTTTGAAAAAGCTCTCGTTCTCGACGCCCTCACCAAGGCTAATATCTAATCCACCTATAATGACGATCCAAATCGAAAGTCCCAGTTTTGCTGGATATTCCAACAGGCTAGTTTTAAGCCGTACCCTTTCAGTGGTTCACGCATAATACCATGCTCAAATGGATCGAGCTTCTGCTCGGACACCATCATCACTTTTCTTCAGTGTAAACGGTTATAAGGATTGAAAGATCGCAACCAGCTGCTTTGTAGACAGCTGGTTGCGGAAATTTACGCCGTCTGTAACTATCTCTACGGCAGCCGAGCTGCTTGAAGACATCGCAACTATAAACTACAGGTTGCAGTTGCCAACGTTTGTAGATAAACGTTGGTAGCGACTGCATTCTCGCGTCCCCACGCATCACTCGGAACAGAAAGGCGCTAGTTTCGGTTTGAAGTCGGTACCTTTTCTACAACATAGATGGCGGCAGCATCAGTCTTCTGCACTCGGTGCATTTGGCGAGTTCGTTTCAATCCAGTTTTTCGTGCAACACTCTGTGAGTGCGATGCATTCTGGGAGAGAACTCGAACGGTGCCAGTGCGTGTGAAACGAACTCACTATTAGATACAATTGACTCCGTAAGTGTGACGTCATGGGTCCAAACAAACCGTTGCTAGGGTCGTTGTTATGGACTAGGTTTCGCTACGTGGCTAGGTTTCGCTACGAAAACCCGACCGTTCAAAAATCAGGAGTAGGGTTTTAACTTCTAAAAATCACAGATATAGAAAGCTTGAATGTCATATATGTTTCGACAAAAGTGTGCCGGTAATCGCTTGTTTCTGAAATATTTACGACTGCAACTTCCGGTCCTCAAGATGCCTGCAGCAGACGACGAATGCAAGAAAAATGCCGTCTGCCACACGCCCGCCCGCCAAGCCGGCACCGGCGTCTGAATTGGGTGAATAAAGACGATATTCTGATATTGCGTTTGTTTGAAATATGAGTTTCAGACACTTATAACAATTCTTAGTGGGGTGCGATGCAAAATATGGTTTATCGAAAGTCCGGGCGTCGATCGAGATGATCGTCTCCTAAAAGATCGCAATGCACCCGTGAGGAAAGCACTTCAGGTGATCGGTAGAGATTCAAAATTTTGTTTGCGGACTCGCGCTGTGGGAGGGTGCTTCGTTCCTGGTTGTAACCATCCGTAACCATCGCATGGAGAAAGATTCTTGCAGTTTCTTCAGATTTCCGCAAAACCCCGAAACGCGAAAGAACTGGATAAAAAATGAAAGCCGCTTACAACTCCCTGTAACGCCGAATTAGAGCGCAGCTCTTGAGGAGGAGGAGGGAAGGGCACGGGGGGGGGGGGGGGTAAACTAACCAGGGGGGGGGGGGTCACGTGACCCCCAATGCCGATGATGTCATCACTGACGTCACTGATGACGTCATCCGTGACGATGACGATGCGGGTACCGATGACGTCATTAGTGACGTCACTGATGGCTTCACCAGTGATGATGACGATGACGATGCGAATGTCGGTGACGTCATCAGTGACGTCGCTGATGACGTCATCAGTGATGATGACGATGACGATGCGGATGCCGGTGACGACATCAGTGACGTCACTGATGACGTCATCAGTGATGATGACGATGACGATGCGGATGCCGGTGACGTCGTCAGTGATGATGACGATGTGGATGCCGGTGACGTCATCAGTGATGATGACGATGACAATGTGGATGCCGGTGACGTCATCAGTGATGATGACGATGACGATGTGGATGCCGGTGACATCAGTGATGATGACGATGGGGATGCCGGTGACGTCATCAGTGATGATGACGATGCGGATGCCGGTGACGTCATCAGTGATGATGACGATGTGGATGCCGGTGACGTCATCAGTGATGATGACGATGACGATGTGGATGCCGGTGACGTCATCAGTGATGATGACGATGACGATGGGGATGCCGGTGACGTCATCAGTGATGATGACGATGACGATGTGGATGCCGGTGACGTCATCAGTAATGATGACGATGACGATGCGGATGCCGGTGACGTCATCAGTGATGATGACGATGTGGATGCCGGTGACGTCATCAGTGATGATGACGATGTGGATGCTGGTGACGTCATCAGTGATGACGATGACGATGTGGATGCCGGTGACGTCATCAGTGACGATGACGTCATCGGGGGGTCACGCGACATCGGCGGGGGTCACGTGACCTCGGGGGGTCACGCGACATCGGCGGGGGTCACGTGACCTTGAGGGGGTCACGTGACCTCAGGGGAGTCACGTGACCTCGGGGGGGGGTCACGTGACCCCCCCACGAGGTCACGTGACCCCGGTGGGGGGGCTCGCGCGGTGCATTATGGGACATTTCCCATGATGCACCGCGCGGTTACGCCGACGGCGACGGCGACGCCGCTCAAGCCGGAAACGGGCCCCTAAGAGCTGCGCTCTAAAAACAATGTGAGTTTATTACTGATTGTACTCTCATCGCGGGTTCGATGGAGATCTTCACCGAAAGAGCACATCCACTAAATTGAATGTATAAAAAAAAAAAAAAAAAAACGAAATTGCGATAGATTATGCAATATTTTAATAACCTGACAATCTCAATAATAATAATAACAAACGACTTACCTCGACGGCGTACGATTTGTTTCTCATGCTGGCCTGCACTACGTCGGTAATGCACTTCAGGTCGTCGTCGTAACTGATCTGCATGACGTGGTTTGATTTTACGGAATTTTCGCCCTTCTGAACTAAGCTGGGTTCTCACAGAAAAAAAAAAAAAAAAAAAAAAAAAAACGCACCATGCGGAGGTTTTTGCGGCCATGGCGATGCACCTGCTTGTGTTGCTCGTTTACCGACGCAATTCAATGAAGACGCCCGCTGCAACAGAGGCCAGCAAATCTATCGTGTCGTCTGCTACCAAAGCAAAGCGGAGTAGAATACTTCAGAAATGGCTTCGATCGTTGCAATACGACGCTGAGATGACAAGAACATCTTCATAATTAGATATCAAGAAGTAAGGTTGCTTACAAAAAGTTATTTACTTACTTATAAGCGAAAATCTAGCCTCGTGTTGAGTCTCCATGCATTAGTCCATAGCAACGTCCCTAGCAACGGTTTGTTTGGACCCAGACGCCATGTTGTGACGTCATCACTTACGGGGTCAATATATTATTTCTACAAGGACTACTATAATGCGGATGTATAACAAATGGAAAGTAGTGTTGTCGAACATTTTAGAAAACATAAAAATTGTTTCTATTGTTTTCTTGATAAGCGTATACGGGAAAAGTAACATGAAAGTAATTTGTAACATAACGAGTAAAGTAATCCATTACTTTTTAGCAAAAGTTAATTTGTAACGGTAATCTATTACATTTGATGCTCGGTAATTTGTAATTGTAATCCATTACACTTTTTCAACCAAGGGGCACAAGTCTGCTCCCATCACTATATCATTTCATACCAACTGGCATGGCTGCACTTGCTCTCGTGGTTGTGTGTATTTACGTGACGTTTTGCTGTGTGAGCAAAAAATATTGCAACATGTCATGATAAAGCAATTACACAGTTCTTGCAGATAACTGCAGATTGTAGTAGTACCTCACATAACACACCAATTTTTACGTCATGAATTAGTGTAAAAAAATGTCAGTGCATTCCGACCCTCCGATGAACGAGAATCTGGAGTCTACTCACCATACATTAATGCCAATGCCAATCGAACGGTGCCTGCAACATAGACGGTTTACTCGACATGAACAGACTTTAAAGAATGGTCCATTTCATTAATGTAATTTGGTCATTTGTTCCAAATATATTTCTATAAAAGCAGCCATTATTGCAAGTTCAATCGTTACTCTTGAAGCTGGCACAAGTGCCTTGTACTGCAACGAGTCAGTACAAAACCCCAGCGGACGTACACGAAAACTGTCAAAAAGATTCCCAGCAAAGGAGGCAACCAGTGGTGTGACATAACTTAAATTACTTTCTCTTTATTTCCCAGAGCCACGCTTGTCCGCAGACCGACACCTTAGTGTAAGGCGCTTATAAAACTGTAAAAAACACTCTGGTCTTCCAAGAACAAAAGAGAGCGTCCACACATCTGACACATAGCTAATGCGTGGCACATGCAACCGTTGCAGGCCAATAAATAAGGGGGTGCACACACCTAAAATAATCGGGGAAATATGCGCGTCCGCCAGCGGGACATCCACTCTTCAATCGTTTTATCACACAGCGATCAGATCGGCAAGCTACAAGCAGAGCTACAAAGACTGCTCAGCAGTTTCTTTCACAATCACATGAAATGAGAACTCCCCAAACATAACCTTCGGGACACGGGAAGTGTTTGGCAACTACCAAAACTGTATGTGCGCTTTTCAAACTCTAGCTCAGAGCAAACCCATTCGTTGCACCAAAAATGAAAATAAAAAAAAACAGCAGGGAACTGTCACTTCCACTCACAAAGTTTGTCAACAACACTCCGTCCAAAAGCAAGCGTCCAAGTGCACAAACCGCAAAAAACTAAAACTGACAAAGGCGAGTTTGATTATGAAAAGCGACCTCCATAGCTGCAGCGTTTTTCGCCGCGGCGATTCGTGTACAACAGACTATCGGGAAATATGTTGGACACACGTCATAAGGAATCACTTTGTAGTGCAATGGCACCTACAACACAGAGCACGGAAGAGGGAACGGAGCGGTGTCTTGGATACACGGTGCAGTACCTCACACACCAAAAGATTGTGTACTTTGGCAACTTGAGGAAAGCAAAGGCATATACCAGCATGCCCTCACGAGGATTTGGTGCGACAGCTGATGAAAAGCAGCGGGCCAATGGAGGAAGCAAAGAGGACAGTTTGTTGCCAGCATCCATGCGATCGATGACCGGCTGATCAACGCGAGGAGCGAAGTCGCATCACATCGGCATCTTGAAGATTGCGACTCTCCACACACTAAGAGGCAGTACTCTGGCTTTGCCAAACACAGTCACATTTGGTTTTATGTGCTTCAAAGTCACCCAGCTAGATCATACTTTCTATCTTTACGCGCTAGACCACACGACACAGTTAGCGTGTATGCGACATCGGCACTTTTCACATCTTGCTAAAACAGGGTATTGACGAGCGCCAAGTCTTACAACTTAAGGTGGAGCCCTTCACAATCACTCACCACCGCATTAGTAGTTTTGATGAGAATCTTTCAATTCCGAAGGGAAATAGAAAAAAAACAAAAAAAAACAGCAATCACATTTCTGCTAACCGAATGCACCACCCCCAAAGTGTCTTTTTTGTGTCTTAGTTTGTCAGTAGCATTGCATACAAGGCCACAGATATTAGGCTTATGCAGTGCACCGTGTACTGCTCGCTCTCACAGGAACATTGCTTTTTTTTCTGAGGCAGCTAAAGTTTGATACAGGTCTTGAAAAGAGAACAGGTTGCTTTTAAACCAGAGTCACTGGCTATATTTAGTGCGCATGGGCTTTGTTTCTGGGACCGCTTTGAGACCCTCGAATGTCCCGAAGCTGTTAGTTCCCAAGTCTTGCGGAGCAATTTGGGACGGGTGCAACGCAACGAACACGCGGGGGCAACACCAAAGGCAGACCAAACCTCCATCTTTAAAAGAAAAGCGGCTCTCACATCCTCCGAGACTGTTGACATTTAACAGCTTTGGACAATGAGCAGAGCCAATGACATATGTCCCGAAGAAAACAAAGAAATGAGTTTTCAAAAATGACACGCATGATTTGCAAATGAAGTATATACTTAAAAAGTTGTAATTCCCCCAACACAGCTCCAAAGGCCCACCAAAGAATGACTACAGCAGTTCCTCGCAGCATAGCGATACTATCATCCCCACCATGAAAATGGCATTTCTCTGAAATGGGAACAATAAGAAAACGCGGCGCGCCGAGGGCGTGCACGCTGGCCGCAACACGCAGATCGAGCTGCTCCCAAAATCGCTCTCAAGATGGAGGCTGTGTCGTATGCTGCATGTCAGTGTGTTTCAAACTACAGCAGTAACTCTCGACGTTTCTCCGGCAACTACCAGAAGGTGCTGCAATGGTGCTCTGTAGAGACAAAGAAGCAGTAATTTCCCAGAATGCGTGAGCTGTAGCAAAAAATAAGCGAGCAAGAGCTAATCACATTCAAGAAGTCAAGCTGCCTCCTGTAGTCCTTTTTGCAAACCCACGTGGTGCCTGGAACTCCTCTCCAACTTGTGAGTTTACACCGTTCTCAGTTCCGGTCCCTCGATTCTTAGCCCGGCAACGTTACACCCCTGTCGTGCCTTTTTAAGACCCTGGCCAGATCGCAGCAGCGAAGGCAAATGTAGCAGGCGCCCTGCTCTGCTGCAAGTTTCGCTCCAGCTCGACGTTCAAAAGAAGATTCGACAGTCAATGGTCGGAGCGCCGTGACGACAGTGACACCAACATACTTTTTTGCCGAAACTTCTATGATTGACCGCCGGGAGCGTGACATCAGACGGCGTGTCGCACCGACTCCCGCGACGTCATTTGTCGACACTTTCGATACACAAGCAGCGTGGGACGCCAAAGGCAAGAGTTGAAGTGTTCCAGCCACCATAATACGAGCGAAGGGTGCACCCGATAAAGTGTTCCGCATGCCATGCAATTCCGAAAGGCTGCCACCCCTTTCTTCCGAATGAATAGTGCCGGATGAAGAGAACCGACGCTTGGCCCACCTTCCCAGATTCGTGGAATGTCCAATGAGACTTTTTTCGGAATGTGCGACAGTCCAAAACTAGGCCAATTACGGGAAAATGCCGAGTCACGTGAATGTGCACTAACTGAATATTTGACTGCGATCGTAGTGCAAGAACGTATAAAGAAAAACACCTGCTGCAAGCGAGTTCTCAAGATTCCTTACTATCCTGTCACACTTTGTGTTCATCGACAAGCAGTTAACTTGTTGGTCATTTGCTCGGTCGCCTGAGTGTAAAAGTGCAGAAATAGCAGCACGACACGGACGATGGCGACAATTTTCCCGCGGTACAACAGCTTTCGACAACACAGACAAGAAACAAACTGCGATGGTCAATGTATGTTACTGAGTTCGGTGGCAAAGTAAATTTTGCCTCGCAGTACACTGACGACACGTATAGCTTCAATGGTAGAGTGCCCAAACTGTTGTAACATGTTTTTCTAGTTGTTTTTTTTAAAGGATCTAGTGAAATTGAGGTTTGACAAATGCCATTCAAGTTTCAACAATAATCAAGCCCGACGTACAATTGAGATCCGATGCATGGTTTCGCTCAAGGGATATTCCACTTTGGGTTCATTATTAAAGTCAAAGATGAGAATCTAGATGTTTATTAAATGGGCCAGTAAAGTCCGACCTGTGCCAAGCTGCCGCAATCTGCAAATTCTAGTGAGCGACATGCGGTGCAATCATAAGCGCAGTCAGCAGTGTAGTCGTAGCACACCCAACACTGAGCTTTTACTATGACAAAGACTTTACCCCTTCTTGTGCTATCACTTTTCAGGCAAAACCTGAAGGTGGCGCCAGCTTGTATCACGTGGTTAGAAACATATCTGACAACGCGAGACCAATGTTGTCCGTCAGAACCAAAGTTCAATTTCTGATCATGTCGAAAGCGAGGCCGCACAAAACATATTTTCTCATTGTGAACAAAGCAACGTAGGGCCACTCATTAGTACTTATTAGTGTGAAATCATCTGCCATCCTGGAACTTTTTGGAACTGAGTGGATCTACCCTTTTATAATTACAGAAAGCATTTGTTTGAAAGGCCACACCTACATATACACTCGCACTGAAAGTAGAATTGCCGGTAATGATCACCCACATTACTGCTAGCAAGAAAGAAAAAAAAGTGGAAGCCGTTTACAACTCCCTGTAACGCCGAATTAGAGCGCAGCTCTTGAGGAGGAGTAGGGAAGGGTATTGAGGGGGGGGGGGGGGGTCACGTGACCTGGAGGGTGTCACGTGACCTCGGCGGGTTACGTGACCCCCCAGGGAAATTTTTCCGCTAGATTTAGCGGGGAAATTTACCCTAAATGCACCGCGCAGTTATGCGGACGGCGACGCCGACGCCGCTCGAGCCGGAAACGGGCGCCTAAGAGCTGCGCTCTAAATGTGTCCACTCGCTCGTAGAGAGAAACATTAATATCAAGACCACATGTGGACATCTAAAATTGTTTCAAAACCTCTGGAGCTTCTACTAGCGAATGAAGAGATCACAAAGAAGACAGGATCACAAAGCACGCAAAATCTAGTGAAAATGAAACAGATAGCGATTAGTCTGATGACCCCATGCAAATGATTACTGAATCAAGCGGAAGGTTGTGCCACCTAACTGTCAGCGGTGGCAGAGAAAGACACATGACCCACTGATGGGGGGGGGGTCACCAGGGCTGTCCCCATAGGAGTCAAAATTGTTCCAGACATACTGTAAATTATTTTCTGTGTCGATTCGTTAAATGCATCATGTTAAATTTTAAAATCATTGAAAGTAGGGACCAACCTTGTTGTCTGCCTCCACTCTGCTACGATCACATTCAGGTTTGAAGTGTCTGCAATTTGTGGCATATTCTTTCGTGCTGCAAGAGTTCAAGGTGGCCATCCACATGCTGATTGCTAATCTTTTCTTCTTTATACCCTTTTCCTGTTGCACCCCTCAAAAGGTTGCCCAACTCATTTCAAAGTTTATACCCCACCTGGGAAGGACAAAATAAATAAGAAAAGCAAACCGAATGCCACAATTATTTACACGGAGGAAGATTGATCTGCCTTTGAGATACGTCAATGCTTGTCGAATGCCAGTGCAGTATGACCACTACCTTGGGTTTTTGTTAACACGCATCATGCAGTAATTACACGAGAGCATGCTGGTACTATGCTTTTCCACACAAAAAGCAGCAACAGTATGCAACTTTAAGATCCTAGCTTTTATACATACCAAGCAGAACTTTGGAACCAGAGATTCAGAGATATATCGAGGGCTATGGCCTGCAAGTGTCCGTTAAAGGTGGTTGCCCACACACCATACACATCCATGGTTCTCACCCATGAAGCTTCATTCGTGAGCAGATTAAAATATATATGTATATGAAACGAGAATATGTGCACAGGATGGCTTAAAGAAGGATAGTCGAGATGCTGAAAATTTTTGCCAAACTCACTTCGCTCAAAAAGCTGAGGCCGTCTACACCAGGGGTCTCAAACTCGTCCGAGTGTGGGGGCCAGACAGCCCACTCCCGAAAGGTTGAGGGCCGACAAGGGGGCGGTTATATTTTTAAACTTTTGGGAAAAAAAATACAGCAATGGTGTTTCATGTTGCAAAGCAGCCGACTCTCCCAGCGACACATCAGCGGTTTTCTAGGGGAGGAACCTCGTGCTTTCTGTAAACTCGCCATCTTGCCAGTGACATCTTTACTTTTGATTTGCTTATACGACTACTATGGGCACACAATTGATGTGATAAAAAGATTTCAAATGCTAATGAACTGGCATTTCTTGATAGAACGGGAGCAAGCTCACTGTTCTCACCCTGTCACGCAATTCACTAGGTTCAAAAGGAATGGGAATATGATCCCTTCATACAACAGTTTTTGCTTCTCCGGCACTTTTTATAGCAACATTAAAAGAGAATTCTTAAGATTTTATTGGTACCGTTTGACGGCTAGAAGCTCGAGATCTTAGCTTTATTTTTGGCAATCCCTCCTGCCGAGAAACAGTACTTGCAGTCAAGCTGCGTCCTTGAGTAAAGGACGCAGCTTGTAGCCTAGTAAAGGTCGTGCTTGAAGCCCAGTAAAGGTCGTGCTTGTAGCCTAGTAAAGGTATTTTCGTTCCAGTTGATTTGTGAGAAAGGGCTGCGTAAGAAGCACCTTTTTAGACAAAGCAATACCAAGTCCAAAATAACAAAATAGTGGAAAATATGCAAACACATTGTATGAGCAGAGCGGAGCGCCTTTCCGAGCGGGAATGAATCTACGATACGACACTATTATTTACGGCGAATGTAGTGCTTGAGGCATGGGAACGGGGCTCACAGCCACGGGATGCTCAAGGGCTGCGTGTTTGAGACCCCTGGTTTACAGCAATGACACGCTACCAGAGCGAGTCTCCCTATTTAGCTTTGGATCAGGGACCAACCTCATCGTCTGCCTCCTCTTTGCTACGATCGCAGCTTGGCCGCAATAGGCTGCATCCAAAAAAGGTGGCTCGTCGTTGCTCCTCGCTTCGGGCAATGCGTACGACCGACTCAAATGCTTGGCATCTTCGACGGTTTTTGCATCCATCGTGCACCCAGAGGGATGCGATCCAACTCACTCGCTTGACAGGCACAGGGTGCATCGTGTCGCCGCGGACGCCACACGAGCAACGCAGAGGCACTCTGCAGTCTCTAAAGCTGCGACCACGTGCGGGCCTTGTCGAAAGTCCAGGATCCCTCTTCGGCAAAACTATATGGCACCCGGAACGCGTCTCCGAGTGGCGCGCTTGGCACATCTTAAAGGGTGGCCCTTTGACTTTTGCCCAACGACGTCGTGAAAGTTTCACGCCGTGGCCGACCATGATCCTGGCTGAAGGCGCGTTCCACGCGCCGTAGCGAAACTCGTATCAGATGGAAAAGTGACTCTGGGACGAGAGGAGTGACACGGGGATTCGACACATACGCGCGAGTGCGGGAAAGCCGAAATCTCAAAAACGAATGGGTGCTAACAAATTGTTTTTTGATCTCAGGAGAGATTGGCGTGTGCAATGCTTTGTACAGGTACATGTGAGATGAAGTATGGCTCTGGCTATGTACAAGACCCATCTGACCAGGTGCACTCGTGGAAGAGAAGTGCAGCGTGCATAAACAACAGTTCAGGTGCAAGAGGTCCTTATCATTTGCCTTGCGTGGCTTGCATCCGACGCAGCCACCGGAAGATGCCCGCGTCACCGCCGGCGTCTTCACGTTTGCGCGTAGCACTTGCTTCTCCGTGGGGACCCCTTGCATGGAGCACCCACACCAGCATAGCGGGAGGCCAGGGACCTTGACTTTTCGATGTCTCTACCAACGTAACTGTCATCTGGAAGCTCAATCATGGAGCTTTTACGTTACATTATAAAATAAAATAAGAGGCAGGTTCGCTTTACGCGAGCTAGATGCCCTACTTGTACCCACGGGGAATCTCACACGGTCCGCCGAACGACTCCCACATCTCCAAACCAATGGTTGCATTAAGGACATTTCTAAAGGTTTCCGAGAGCCAAAAGACGCTCTACGTTGTGGAAATACCACGTTCCTTCCCACAATCTCTTCACCGCATCTTTGTAAAAAAAAAAAAAGAAAAGATGTCTTTGGCAGCCGCCATCTCTCCGGCAACGTAATCGCTCCAGCAGACTGCAATTGAGCAGACTAGACCAGCACACCGAAGTGAGTCTCGGACGAGCGCCACTCCAGTCCTTCGAGCGGCACCAGAACCAGGCCCTCCCGGGTTGACGCAAGAGTTCCACAAGGACGCCGCTTTCTTTCCTGGCCCTACCTGAGCCCCTGGTTGCACTTGATGAACATGAGGTTCTCGAAGGTGACCCCGTTGAGCCGGAAGTCGGCCGGGTTGGCCACCCTGCCCCCGACGCGGCACATGCGCAGGACGTGGGCGGCCGTGGCCGGCACGCCGAGCATCCTGCCGGCCATCGCGGCCAGCTTGGGGTACTGTCCCTGGTGCTGCCTCCAGAACTCGAGCGGGCAGCCCCCCTCCGGCAGGCACGGGGTGGCCAGGTAGCTGCTCACCTCCCAGCACTGGGGGTGGGCCGCGGCCGTCCCCGGTCCCTCCCCCTGGCTCGTCTCGGGGCCGCTCATGTAGCGGAACAGCTTGCTCTTTCGCTGCTCCTCTCGCGGCGGGTCCTCCCCGCCCCCCGCCCCGTTGTTGGCGCCGCCGCTCTCCGCCTGCCGGATCTTGGCGCCCAGGAGCGCCGTGAGCCGCCGCGTCTCGGCCTCCTCCGAACACCAGCGCAGCTTGAACCGGGGGTCCAGCATGGAACAGAGCGCGAAGGTCTCGCTGGCCTCGAACTTGGCCAACCGGTTGCCGAGGGCCGCCGCCAGACGCCCCGCGGCCGAGGCCAGCCGGAAGGGGCGGGCCGCCTCCAGGTGCGCCCGGAGGCCTCGGATGCAGGGCACCACGTAGCTGGCGGTGATGCGACCCTCTCCGCGGCTCAGGTTGAAGGCCTCCTCAAATGGCTCCATGAGCTCGGCCAGCTCTCGTAGCGTCTCCACGTCCTCGGGCACGAAGCCCAGGGCGGGGGCCGCCAGCTGGAGGGTGTCGAGGGATGCGTTGGCGGTGGCGCGCACTACCCGCAGCTGGCCGTGCCACGTGGAGCAGCCGTACTCCACGGCCTGGCGGACCCCGTCCAGCGTGCCTTGGGGCAGGGCGCGGGCCAGGTCCACCAGTCCGCTCACCTGGAAGGAAAGGGCGGAGTTTGTCCTTGCTGCGCGCGTCAAGCAATACCTAACTGGCTACCTCGCGACCGATGCATGTGATCGGCTCACGAAAGTGGAGTCTTCGATGCCACCGTATCAGTCAAATTTCAGATGCAGTCGCGATTCCCATCGGCACATCAGCGTGAAGTGGAATGGCACTGTATAGCTTGGCTTGAAAAATATGACACTCCGATACTGAGACAGTGTGTTTTGAGACAGTCACCCTCGTCTTAAGGCCTGTCCAAACAGGATACCACAAAACTCACGACTCCGGCAAATCGTGCCGCGCTCCGCTTCCGGCTGTCGGGGGGAAATTTCCCCCCATCAAAGCTCCCGGGGGGAAACTTCTTTCCGACAAATGTCCCCCTCGCTTCCTCCACGGCGGCCTTGCTCTCCTCATCACCTGGGTCCGGAGTGCCACTCACACGCTTTGTTGGCTGTCGGTCAATCGCTCAAGGCCTCCGCTCACAATACGGAACCGCGTCGGACGCCATCACGACGAAAGTGAATCTCAACAAAGAAAGCTGATCCGAGGCGGGCGAAACGCACCCTTCGACGCAGGAATGTACCAAATCCACCTGAAGCCGGACCTCCTTGGCCTTCGAGCCGAGGCGACGGCGGTACGCGAGGGCTTTGGCGAGGTGAGCCAGATGCAGGTGGCGTGTGACGTCAGAGAAAAGTGGAGGAGGTGAGGAAAGAAGCCGTGATCGTGAAAATTTTCACGACTCCTGCAAAAATGTTCACGTATCTCCAACAAATCGTAAAAATAGAAGCGTCCGCTTCAATTTTCACGATTTGCGAAGTCGTGCGTTTTGTAGTGTCCTGTTTGGACACCCCTTTAAAGGGCCCCTGAAAAGAAAAAGAATGTTTTTTAAAACAGTCTCGTTGGGACAGTGTCAAAAAATTATTTTACGCGAAAAAAATATTTTTTAGAGCAATATTGACGGCGCGAGATTTATTTCAAATTCTGCGTGCAAAGTCCATGAAGTCACGGAATGGTCATACACTCTTCCCACCCCAATGAGATGGCCATACACTCTCTTCACCTTAACATGATTTAATTTTCATTTAATTTAATATACTTTTATAGCGCCCGGTAGGGGCTTTACATAAGAGGGGGAAAAAACAACAATACACATTCAAATCAACGAGAGTTAGGAATCCTTTCCTCTTTTTTTTACGTATTGTAAAGAGTGGCAATTGCGGAACGAAATCTAGCAGACTCTTTTACTGTTACAATGTCGTCGGGGAGGGAATTCCAGTCTCATATAGATAACTGTAACGGAGAAAATTTGAAGGTGCTAGTTCTAGGAGTGGCGAGCTGAAGTTTCTGCGAGTTGTCTGTGTGTGCCGAGACGTGGTTGGCAGCTGGGCGATATTTTTCTTTCTTTGAGGGTGAATGATAGTACAGGTGATGAAGGGCAGTTAGTCGAGTTATTTTACGTCAGTCTGCAAGAAGGGGTGTACTAGTTTGTTGTTTTAGTGTTGTTATACTTGTACGGGTATAATTTCGGAGAACGAAGCGGGTGGCTCGGTTTTGAATGGCTTCTAACTTGTCAATGAGATATGAGTGATGCGGGTTCCAGATGAGAGATCCGTATTGCATCTGGGGACGAAGAAGACATGTGTATGCAATCAGTTTTGTTTCCCGTGTTGCCAAGTGTAAGTGACGTCTTAGAAAGCCTAAAGTTTGATTAGCCTTTGCCATGACATGGTTAACTTTTTGGAGTCATGTGTCGGGTGACCCCCGGCAAAAAAATATTTAGGTTCTGGTCAAATATCGGGGTTCCCCGACAGGCCCATTTCTCCTTTGCAGTCAGGTGTCGGGCACGCCCCTTTCAACTTGCGCCATCTGTCATCGGGAATGTAGACTAGACTTTCTTAGTTTCTTCGCCCTCCGAAAGGTGCCGCAAGTGACGCTGCACATTTTTGTTTTTTTGCGAAATGCGCGGGCGGGAATGTTGCGTGCCCTTTTACGAGTTCAACATGGCAGCCTTTACTCCTTCCGCATTTTACGGAAAGGCTTGCGACTCAAGTGACAGTGAATGTGATTTTAGCGGAGAAGACACCTATGATCCAAAGGAGGCCTCTGAGATAGTCTCTGATGAGTCCTCAGAGAATGACGGTGACAGCACCGAGAGTGAGGAGGAGACGTACGCCTACGCCATCGCTTCTTCAAGCTGGGCACCCAACTTGGATTCAGATGAAGATTTCGAAACTCACCGTTTTACAGTATAAAATCCAGGTCCCTGAGCGGTACAACCGAAGCCCACAAGTGAGCTCGAATACTTCCAGTCATTTTTCACAGACGCCTTGATGATTGATATCGTCAATGAGACAAAGCGCTATGCCAAACAAAAAATTGCGAAGCTTCGAGTACTTCCTTCCCAGTCACTCTGGCACTCTTGGCAGGACGTCACGCTGGACGAGTTCAAGGCATTTTTAGGAGTGCTGATGAATATGGCATTGAACGAAAAACCCTGCGTGAAGGACTATTTCTCCAAAGAATGGCTGACCATGGTACCGTTCTTCACGGATATGTTCAGTCGGACGCGCTTTCTCCAGATTTTCTGGATGTTACACGTTTCGCCACCTGAAACCCCTGCTGCTCCTGCCACCAGAGCAGGGAAAGTGAAAAGGATTGTCGACTACATTGACACAAAATGCAGGGAAAATTTTGTTCCTGGACCCAAGATTATCATCGACAAAAGCACGGTTGGCTTCAAAGGTCGCGTGCTCTTCAAGTGCTACAATCCTCAAAAGCCAACAAAATGGGGGCTCAGGATTTACGTTCTTGAAGACAGTGCTACCGGCTATGTCAGCGCTCTACTACCGTACTACGGCAGTGTGACCACGCAAAGTTTGATCCGGAGCGACCTTCCTTTCACAAGCCGCGTCGTCACTCGCCTAGTTGACAAGGTGCTGAGCTCGGTGCAGGGAACGGGTTTTCACCTGTACATTGACAGGTACTACACATCGCCTCAACTGGCGGAAGAACTTCTGAAACTAGAAATAACGACAACTGGCACAGTCATGACAACTCGCAAAGACATGCCACCTCAGCTCAAAAAGAAAAAAAATGAAGAAAGGCTCCATACTTGCCTATCAAAAGGACGACAAGGTGATGGCTCTCGCCTGGCAAGACAAGCGACAAGCACAAGGACATACAGACAATTGACAGAAGGCTTGCTGGAGGAGACGTAACCACTGTGGAGAAACCAATTGTGGTACTTGACTACACACAGAACATGGGAGCAGTCGATCGTGCAGATCAGTATCCTGTGCTAGCTATGCTTTCACCAGAAAGTCTGTGAAGTGGTGGCGTAAGCTATTTTTTTGGTTGCTGGAAGTGGGAGTCGTCAACAGCTACATCCTCTTCTGCCTCGAAAAAATCAGCCAAGGCGAGCAAGCGCCGCAGCACCTCACGTTTCGGAAAGCATTGATAAAAGACCTTGTTGGAAATGTCCACAATCAGCCAAGGAAATGGGGGGCGCTCTTCCGATGGAGACTGCGAAGAGAGACTGAGTGGAAAGAACCACTTTATTTATAAACTCGATGGAAGCAAAAGCAAGGACTGCGCCGTCTGCAGCGACAAAAAAACCAAGGGGCAACGGCGCGAAACAGTGTTCTACTGCAAAACCTGCACTCGTTAACCTGGCCTGCACCCTGCCGCTTGCTTTGAAAAGTACCGCACGCTGCGCAAGTGCCGCTAGCATTTCAAGAACTGAAAGCACCCAGGAGAATGCAGAGTTATTTTCAATTGAACATATTATTATATTAAAATAAAAACGTTAAATTTGAAGTCACTTGTTGCTTGCATCATTTTTGCATAAACTAATTCTGACCTGAGGGGCCACCAAGGGGAAAACTCACATGACCCCAAAAGGTTAATATGTGGTTCCCACGAAAGGTTGGGCGTGAAATGAAGTTCGAGATATTTACATGTGTGAACATTTTCAATGGGGACACTGAAAAGGGTGTAGATAAATTGTGTTGATGAGCATTTATTATTGGAGTTCAGATATTTTGTTTTGGAAACATTAATTTGCAACTGCCACTCTTCACACCTTGGTGATGGCCAAGTCGATCCACCTCTCCTCCACGTGCCCAAAATGACAAGCAGGAAAACAAGTGAAAAGGAGGTGACTACCGACTAAAGCACGTCTTATTTATTTATTTATTTATTTATTTACCCTCAGGGCCAGAGGCGTTACAGAGGGGAGTGGGTATTAACAAGGTACAACACAACATACAGCATAAAACAGAAAATATTATACAGTAGTTATGGCTCTTTACAAAAAAATATTGGAAACGGCAGTTTTAAAACACTCGATATCGGGGATTTCGGCAATGGCTCCGGGAAGGTGATTCCACATTGTTGAGGCACTAGGAATAAAAGACTCGTAAAAATGTTTAGTACGACAAGAAGGAATGGCAACTTTATGACGGTGATCGATGCGTGCTGAAATGTAATGAGTAGGGGTGTGCGAATACTCGAATATACGAATTCGAATCGAATAGAAAGTTCCCGAATAATTCGATTCGCGAATCGAATTCCTAGTATTCGGTCACTCGAATATTCGATATATTCGGCCAAAGACGCGCGGTCGCCGCGGAGCTGACAAAAAAAGCCGTTTTTCCCCCCGATGTAAGCGCCGTGATGTTAGACAAACCATGCGAAAAACAGCTCTTGGTCCTACCATTCCACAAAAATCTAACGCACAGGTTAGTAAAAAGAAAAGTAACGAACGCCACGAACTTTATAGTACGCAGATTTACTCACGATCGTGATACAACTTGCCCTTGAATCACAACCGAAACATCCCGTTTGCGCCGCTTCCAGAGAGGAATTGGGAGGCCGAAATCCCGCGCCATGCCTAATTCTTTTCACGAGTAAAGCCCCTCGTTTCAAATTGAAGCACCGATGTAAAACACACTTGCCGCACTCACAGAAATCGGCGACTGCACGAACACAGAATAAAACCAGCCGAGTTATCGTCGTCGTTCTTTTGGAACCTCAAGCCGCAAATTCTGATTCGGAACGAAACGAAACACGGAAAGGGAAAATAGTGTGCCTAGATTTTAGAGGGTTTCCAACCGTTCGATAGCCGCGTTTGAATTACGAATTGCGAGAAGGTGACGAAAAAACGAAAGCGTCGATCGGGATCGGGCAGACAGGCAGGGCAGGGAGAGTAGGCGTCGTCGCCCTTCTGTTTGCTCGCCTTTATCCTCGCGACAACACAACACATGCGCACTCCAATCTGCACTGGAGCCGTCTCCGTGGTTTCAGTTTCGCTTGCTCCCTCTTTTAAATCAAGGCTCTCTAAAACAGAATAGATAGACGGAAAAATGGATGCATAGCGGCAGTTAGACGGTGTCTTGCGCCACCAAACCACGCTTTTTTTTCTTATTTCAGATTATATTGTTTAAGCCTGTTTACTAAGATTTAACACCTATCTGTTTGTTTACGTGAAATAAAATCCCGGGTGCCCCTTTTCTTCCTTAAAATGAAAACCAAATATCGCAAAATGCCCCTTTTCTGAGATATGCAAACATTTATGAAAAAAAGTCGCGGTGTTAGGTTGGGCTTAAAAAAGGCATGCGTGGCTGTAACTTTGGGTTTTTTGTGACGTTTAGGGAAGATAGATTATATTTGTGCCATAAAATTGGATCTTTAGTGCCCAACATCAAACAGCAACTGCTTTTATTTATTTTTTTTTTCACCAGAATTTTTTTACATTTTAGCTTTTGTTCTGCACAAGATGCCTATTCTGCAACAGGCGCATACTCTGCACGTATAATAATCTCATTCGCAGCACACTTTGAAGAATTCCTACAAATAAAATCACTATTCGATATTCGATTCGATATTCGGCTTTTTTTTCTTGATTCGATTCGGTATTCGATTCGAAAACTACTATTCGGTATTCGCACACCCCTAGTAATGAGGTGTTGTTAGTAGTCTTTCTTTTAGAATCGGATTATTATGATATATCTTATGAAACAAGCACAGACGGAACATTTTTCTACGTTGTGAAAGAAGAGGTATTGATAGGCTAGACTTCATTGCGGTCACACTGGATGTACGATGATAATTTGAAAGAATGAAACGAGATGTGCGGTTCTGAATCGCTTCTAATTCGGAGATAAGTGATTCTTGACCAGGATCCCCAACCGAAGCTGCATAATGTCATGAATGTTAGAGTAAAACGTTTTTGGCATAAAATTAATTTTTGTGACACACATGTCCAAACCAGGTTGTTTAAAAAAAACATTTTCTTTTCCTTTTCAGTGCTCCTTAAAACACTGCAATTCCAATACGTGCAACCGAAAGACGTGCCCTCGTGCCTTGGACTCGGCATCGTGGGACATAACATGGTTAAAGAAACAATGAAGACAATTTTAATTAATTTGTTTAAATGGTGTTTTAGGCTTCTTAAGAACGTAGCACACTGCCCAATTTATTACAGACACTTGTGACAAATAATTCTGTGCCTAGGAAAGAACTGAAGAAACCGAAACTGAACTATCTCCGTTCCTATTTCAGGGCCTCCGAAAACGGAAGTGACGTAGGGAGTGACGTCAAGTGTGAACAGTCAGTATCGGTAACACATAGGAGATCGAGACTCTGGTTACCACGGTGGGTTATAACAGCGCGGTGGCGCGGTAGTTTTGTCGGACCTGTCAACGTGGACGACAATGCCACTTTCGCGAGCGAGTTCGGGCTCCCGTTCAGTGACCTAACACCAACAGAACGGGAGATGCTCTTAAGAATGCGGGACTCTGGAATGCCTCTTTACAAGGACGCCCCAGAATTGCCGCCGACCTCTCAGTCGCCGACCCAGTGTGATTCGTCGCCTCCCAGCTCGCCTACGCCACCGCAACGTCGTTACGGTACCACCAAAGGTGCTGTTCAAAGTCTTCTGACCGAAAAGGTAGCGAACAAATTCTGCAAGACAACGCCGTTCAACCAGCAATTCCGCAATGCTTCATCGCTTGGGAATACGTGAAAACTAGCGTCGCCCGAACAATCACGGATCTTCAGTCGACCGTATGAACAGCCTTCTACGACGCACAAATTTGGCATGACTACCGTTTTGCAGAACCCTTCGAGTGCCATGTTCCCAATGTACACGACACCGACATCTGAAAACAAAACCAAGCGCCTCCCGCGAGCTCCGCACTGTGTTCTTTTTTCATTTATTTTGTTTGCCCACAGTTGCTCGCTGCCCGTTTTGAGTCCAGCATAGCAAAGACAAAAATAATTATGCCGTTTTATTTATGGTTTAGTAATCATTTCTGGTCCGATTTATACTTTTCCTGGTTATTCCAGTGGAAATCAGAACAGCGTTCATAAAAATCACGAATCAAAACGTGACCGAGGGCACGTCTCTTGTTTTGACCAATCGCTGTTGCGCCTCTTATGACGTTGTGCTTCTAGGCCCTGCAACGTCACGCAAACTCCCCTTCTTGTGTCTTCTCCTGCAACTCTCGGGGTGTCGCCGCAATCGATCCCAGAACGATTATTACCGTGACTGTCTAACTAACAAGCGCCGGTTTCAGCTGAAATTTGGACAACATTGCCTGGGATGTGCCTGGAACCCAATGCAATTGGCAAAAAAATCATCCGAAATTGCTCTCATTCTTTCTTTAAACCGAACAGAACCACTCGGAGAAGTTGGATTGTATAAAGTGAACATAAAATTTATTGAACGGTAGTCAATTTGGAGACGCATGAGCCTCCTGCCTCCTGCAGTAGAATGGCGATTTGCCCAGAACGCCAGCACAGCTATTGGGAAGCATCGTGCCGTAGACGACAGAAATGCACACCTGCGTGCAATCTCCGTCCATGATCATTCCGGTACGAACGGCAACCAAACTCATGATATCCAAGCCCGCAGCATCAACATTCACTCTGAGGGCTGCCGAACAACGGCGTGTTGACGCGCTCGGCCACCGAACCTCCCCCTTTTCTTTTAGAACCTTGCACCCGTGCCTTTTTTCGCAAACTCCTAAGAACCGTCGGGACGCGAAAAATTCCGAGACGAAGGGTGAATACCTTGTTGACGGCACCCTCCAGGCAGAGGTCGTCTTGCAGCCCCTCGGCCACGCAGAGCTGGAGGGCCTCGGCGAAGCAGCCCAGCCCCTCGAGGCAAAAGGGCCCCTTGGAGTCGAGGGGGGGCGGCCTCCAGTCCCCCTCGGCCCCCGGCAGGGCCCCGGCCACCCCGGGCAGGGCGGCCCCGTCCTCGCAGGCCGAAAAGCCCGGCAGGCAGGTCTGGAAGCTGCGCACCACCCCAGCCGCCCCGTACACCGCCGCGTGGGCCACCTTGTCCGCCAGGCCATACTGGGACAGGGCCTCCGTGAGTAGCTGGTGCAGGCTCTCCGAAGGGTCTGCGTCCACGAAGTAGCGACCGGCCAGGAACACCGTGCGCAGCCGCCAGTTGAGGATGAAGTGGGCGCACACGCTCACGCAGCTCGTGTGGCCCAGCCACACGTCCTGGGTCAGCGACACGCTCTGGGCCGTCTCCAGCAGCAGCATGGCCCGCTGCTGCAGCCCCCAGCGACGCCCTGCACGGTCACGGCACACTCGGACGCGTGCCGACTCTTCGTCCAGATCGACGGGGGCTAAAGGCCGATTCGCACATTGGACAGTGCTTACGATCAAGCCCCATTAAAATCTCAAATCTCTTACGACGAGAGCAGAGCCATATCTAGGGAAGAGCTTGGCCAGCTGGTGTGGCTCATTGACAGCTTGTCTACAATGGCACTGACACGTCACGTGAACACCACGGCCACACCCATTTTGCCATCTTTGAGCCCAAATGACGCTGGTGACATATGCCCGTATGCTTAGTTCTCGGTTTTCTCCATTGTATGACTGTTTTATTCTGTTTTAAGTCATCCGCTAGCAGCATTTGGGCTATGTAGTGTCTGTTCAGGAACCATACTAAGTTAGTTTCCAATTACCTCGTCTATTCTCCCTCTGTACGCACTGCGACACCAGCCCGTTCATATGCTTCACAGTCGTTCGGTGCGTCGCACAAATTATGCTCGCGTAAATTGCATAATTTTTTTGTTCTAGTTGATGCTTCTTGTTATTTTAGTGGTACACAACGATAACAACTTCTAATTCACTGCCACGGGGCTTTCCGTAGAGTATACTGATAAGCGAGCGTAGAGAATGCCATCGTTGCCCATGTTTATTCGAAGAAACTTGTCTGTTAGACTGTAAAGTGAGCTAAAGCTTTTCGTCCAAGAGTTTCCAGGAGCTTCGTTTTTTCCTTATTGAATTTCCTCTTGACTCTGAGTCAGTGTGTCAAACGAGATAGCTTGATCGAAGAGATCGCTATGGCCACACCGTGCATGCTTACTGCGTGCCTCCACCAAACTCTTTCAGCAATGAAGCAGCAATTTTGCTATCCGACAATCTAGGAAGCCGGAAGGTTAAGAACAGAGAGAAAGAAAATAAATGAAGGTTGAGCGAGTTTGATGGCAATAAAAACGGTGCCGGCACTAGTGTTTGCCGTAACGTTAGAGCCATCTATTTCGTAATGGAAGGTTACGAAGTAAACACTGAGCGACTCAGCATCAGGTGGCTCTTTGCAAATGATAAGGTTGCTCGTTTTAATGGATTTTAAACTCAATTGATTGGCCGTTCCTAATGGCGCTGAGATCCCAGCGTCGATCATCATGCCATTCCATAAAAATTAATGGAAGATGGAAAGATAACAAAACTGCCTTTTTCATACAAACAATTATATTGATCGGAAGGCATCGATTCAATAATAAATTCATTCACTTCACAGTTTTGAGGTGAAGGCAGGGGAAAAAGCTTCACGGCCATTGGACGTCCCTGTCTCGTGCTGCAATTATTCACGTTACACATTACATGCGAGATTCTTGCAGCAGTTTGCTAATTGTTAAATTTGGTGTGGAGTTGATATCGATTTACTGGACAAAGACTTTTTGGACTACTTCTTGGCACAGAACCGACCAATTTCTCACCAGAAAACCTAAAAAATGAAGGCATGTATGCAGAAAACCGCACGGCCCTACATGCGCGTGCGTTAGCCTGGGATCAGTGGTCGTGGACAGGCCAGCGCTGTTTGCAAGGCATTTTCTGTTGCTAGGTGGTTGCTAGGCCTAACATCATGCACTTCTATGGGAGGAGCCTGGGAGGAGCTAAGGTACGGTGAGAGGTCATAGAGAACGAAAGATGTTCACTCTTCTCCTATCTATGGCCCTGGATGAGAGAATACATTGGCCTCTCCTATGGGTAGCTGTGGACTGTCAATTTTCATATCTTTCCTTTTCTTTGCACATTTTTTTTTTTTTTGCTAACTTGCAGTAACACGGAGGCACTCGAGGAAGAGGTTCGGCTGGCAGTCAACCTGTCAACTTCCGTTGCTGGCACTTAACCGGATATGGTTAAGTTCCAGCCATATAACGCATTCTCCGTTAAAAATGCAAGCGGATGCAAGGGCCATTGTGGTTGCAGCGTCCCATCTTCCACGTGCTTAAGTTGCTGTCGAAAGTCTGGCTTCAGAACAAGCTGCAACAGAAAACGCAGTCTGCCGCATCCGCCTCTGCCGCCCAAGGTTAACGAAGTCAGCGCACTAGCATTTTGACGCTGTCGCAGCGAGATAGAGCGACGGAACAAATCGGACACAATTGCTGCGCGAGTGTTCAGCTGAGCCTCGTGTTTGGAAAACGCACCGAAGGACGCTCGGCGTCAAGCCCGATTGCTGCATTGGCACCATCCTGGTATGCCGACGTCACGTAGAGGAGGCTGTTCACACACTGTGATTATTCCAGCTGGTGTTGGCCACGCCACCACTTAGATCATATATGGCAGCGGCATACCGAAGTGTGACGTCCTCGGTGGGAAATCGAGGGACCCCGAATGAGGACGTTGCAAGCGCAACAGCCAGTGATGCCTTCCAGGTACCATGGCACAGCCTAGGAAGACGCCGAAAAAGCCGCGGAGCCCACCTGGTAGGAGCCCGTAGACCAGCTGCGAGGCGGAAGGCGGCTCGTAGCCGGAGTCTAGCAGGCTGAGCAGGCGCCGAAACTCGCGCGTGTCCACCAGCCCGGGGTCCAGCAGGCTCCCCGCAAGGAGGTCCACCAGGGCCTCCGTCACCTGCTGCTGCCGCTGGTCCACGTATTGCTGCACGGGGTTGGGGGGACCTCCCAGGGGCGCCAGGGCCGCGGAGTCCGAGGGGCGCGGCAGGGCCCCCACTCCGCCCCCGCCATTGTCGTGGTACACCCCGGGGTGCTTGCGCTGCGTGGGGACGCTCGGATTGGTGGGAGGTATCGTTGTGGGTCGGATGCGCCGGCACAGCCGTGCGCTAACACTCGCTAGCCCGAATACAGACGGAAACTTTGTTTTACTATTCTTTCTGATTCGTTGCTCAATGACCGATCAAGTTGCCTAACCTTTTGATCAGTCACGTACCAATTGCGACAAATGCTCGCATTACTTGCGGGAATTTTCGTTTGAACATATTGTTACCCAAAATTTCAACCAGAAACAAACGGACAAGGAAAGGACAGACAAGCAAGTTGTGTGTGTTTGTCCCTTTTGTCTACAACGCTGTTCCACCAGAAGTAATTTCTTTATTTTCAATGTCTTTCTTGATTCAGATATTTTTCGTTTTAGAAAAAGCTTCGTTTTTGGGTTTGATATTAAAAACAAAAATCGGGGAACTAAAATCCGGCGCTTCGTTCCAAGCGTGTAATCAGAAAATAATCGTATTTTTCAAGAAATTATTTTGAATTTCAGATTTTTTCAGGTTATATTTAGAAAGATACCAATAATTAACAATACAGAGCTGGACGGAAGCGCCGAATAAACAGGGACAGAGAACTAGACTGAGACGAATCGCTTCATCTCTGTATACTTCTTCGTCCCTATTTGGCACTTCCATCCAGCGATGTACCAACTGGCCCATCTTTCTACCTTAATACAATAGAGAGCATTGATCAGTTTGCATATACGAAATTTCATTCTTTTTTCTTTTTTCACAATCAAGCCATAAGAGGACACAAGATATCATTGGAACAAGGTATAAGATATCACTTGGGCTTTTCGATTCTTCATAATCCTCGTGGCTTACATAGTCTTCTACATGTGCAGTGGGGAATAGGTGGCCATGGAATAGAGGTAACAAATTTTTATATAAGCTTCACCCTGCTGACAAAAACCGGTAAGCACGGGATGTGTGACAGGCCTTGCACTTATCAACGTTCGTCTGCAGGGCCCCCGGTGAAGGTTCTTCCTGCTGCTTCTGCCGTTTCTTATGTTCCCGATAAGCTTGCATACATTCTGCGGCCGTCTACCTAGTTGGTGCCATGGCAACGGTGGAAGAAAAAGGCGTCCGAATGGCTCCGCCTCGCCACGAGGCAAGTGTGTCGAAGATTCATCTCCATTTCTGACAAATGCCGCGAGACGGCGCAGTGTGAGAGCAGCTCGAGGAACTGTCTTTATTTGCCCATACATTTTCGAGGTCGAGAAGCGTGTGACTACGCCATGGAGGTAGGAAGTTCCTGGATGTGACTTGAGGCCACCAGAGGTGAAGCCAGAAGTGGGGGGGACACGCCCCCAACGATGACCAAAACCAAGAGACGATATTGGACGAAAAGGACAGCTGACTCAACAGCTGTGTTGGTCACCCTTGGGGTTCACGCGAGGGTGACCAAAAACGCTCTTCAGTCAGCTCTATTTTTCATCCAATAGAGTCCCCTGGTTTTGGTCATCGTTGTGTAGTGTTACTGAACCATTATTGGTTTTAAGAGGTACGGCGTACTTCTGTGAGTGGGAGCGGCGGCGCCCTTGTTCCGAGCGCGGCTGTTGTATCGTTGGCGCTGGAGAGTAAAGCGTCCAGAGATTGCTGTCTGAGACGCCGCGGAGTATGGTCATACCCTTTATTCTGCACGGTGTCAGATGTGACGACTCCTGCCGCCATTGCCGAAAGGCATGTATGAAGAGGACCAGTCGGACTCCAGAGGAGACTCCAGCGGCCAAGAGCCTTCCACTTCCACGCGATCGAAAATCATGAGCAGCATCCAACAGCCGCCCCCCTTCAACTTCAACAATCTGGCCGAGTGGCTGGTGTAGCTGGACGAGTTCGAAGACTACATGTTCACGTCCGGACTCAGCAAAAGAACCCAGGAGGCGCAGGTCAGATCCCTGCTATACTGTATGGGATGAAAGGTGAGAGAAATTCTGAAGACCTTTAACTTCACCGATGTCGAGTTCAAGAACTAGGAGCTCGTGAAGGGGAAGTACAACGCGCATTTTGTGCATTCAAAGAACATCGTGTACGAAAGCGCCACTTTCAACCAACGTGTATGGGGAGCGGAGGAGACAGTGGACCAGTTTGTTACCAAACTACACACCCTAGCGGCACGGTGCAAGTTAGCCAATTTGAAAGAAAGACTGATCCGCAACCGATTTATTCTAGGCCTCAGACGCAAAGCTGTCCGAAACACTTCAAATGAATGCTGAGTAAACGCTGGACACAGCTTTGGCAAAAGCCCGACTCAGAGGGACCGTGAAAAAGCAGCAAAAGGACCTGGCGAAAAATGAGCCTTAGCGACGCAGCGAGGGCGCTGCCTGGAATGCAGATGCCGTTTCCAAGCCGCTGTGCAGGAAAGATACGATGGTCAAAGCCGGGCCGCCGGTGCAAGCATGCAAGAATTGTGGATACGGTTCCCATTAGAAACATGACTGCCCAGCAAGAAACAAAGGATGTAATAAGTGCAAGAAAGTTAAACATTTCGCCAGGAAATACCAAAGCGCGCTATTGAGCTTGAGTAAGACGCACGTTGCAGAAGTGCAAGCGTCTGAAAGCTGTTTCTTCCTTGGAAGCGCATGCAAAAGTGGACCGAACATGCGTTCTGTGGTGACTGTGAACAAACATCCGTTCCCAGCAAAGATTGACTCAGGCGCTGATGTCACCGTCATTGGAGAAGACTTTGCTGGCAAGCCGCCAAGACTTCTACAAGCCGAGGATTTGAAGGGGCCAAACAAGAAAAGCCTGGACGTACTGGGGAAAGTTCACAGCTGTGGTCGAATGGAAAGGCTAAGTTTCACAAGAGATTATCTACGTCGTTTAAGATCTTAAACGCCACTGCTAAGAATGCCAGCAATCAAGTCCCTCAAGTTGGTTCGCTTTCTCAACGACGTCTCCCACAGCAAATCTGGAAACTAAAATATGTGCCCGGAAGTGTTCCAAGGTCTCGGAACGATCCCAGGGGAACACAAAATGCAGCTCAGGCCGGACACGGAACCGTTTGCAGTCGACACGCCAACACGGATTCCGTTTCTGATGAGACCAGCAGTCGAGAAGGAGCTGCAGAGACTCGAGGCCACTGGGTTCATCAGAAAAGTTCACGGCCCGACTGGCTGGTGTGCACCTATCATACACGTTCAGAAGCCATCAGACACCATCAGAATCTGCGTTGACCTAAATTTTCTGTGCGTCGAGAGCGATGCATCATGCCCACCGTGGAGGAAGTTCTTGCGAACATTGGTGAAGCAAAGTTTTTCTCCAAACTAGATGCAAACTCTTGATTTCACCAGATTGCCTTGTCCCCCGAGTCACAAAAGCTGACCACGTTTATAACACCATTTGGGAGATACTGCTACAGGAGGTTCAGCATACTTCCATGAGGGGGGGTGGGGCGGCAGCGCCCTTGTTTTGAGTGCTGCTGTTGTATCGCTGGCGCTGGACAATAAAGCGTCTAGAGAGCACTGTCTGAGACGCGGCGGAGTACGGTTGTACCCTTTATTCTACAGTTAGGGGCGTGGCCCTCCTCACTTCTGACTTCACCTCTGGTGGCCTCATGTCGCCTCCAGAAGCTTCCTATTTACATGTACTGCGCCCACACAAACGCCCCGTGGCGCCGCGTGAACGTACTTGCGCGTTGAGCCCCGATCCGACAGTGCTTAGTTGGGAGATGCGCAAAGCCCGAGTAGAATTTCGACCCTCTCAAATTTTTGGCCTTGTTTTGACGCCTCTTTCCTTTCTCCTTATATGGGGGTGGTGTGAACACACCTGTTTGCTCTCGCATGTGAGAGCGAACACCTTCTTTCAATAGTTCAATTGGCTCTTGGCTCACAATCTCAAAGTCGTCAATTTAAATCCTGCCGGATACATTTTTTTTTTTTAAATCTTCAACGTCTTTTTTATGGCCATACATACTTTGTATTATTCTGGCAGACGTGACGCTTTTTGGTGCTGGTAATTTGTTACGGTAAAATGTGGCACACTTTCATGATATACGGCTGGTAACACATTCTGCATTAAAAAAGAATCGATGGCTGATCTAAGCACTGCAGCTCAGAGAGCATGAAGCGAAAGCTCGCGCAGCAGAATCTGGGGATCCTGGGTTCAATACCCACCCCTGCCCATTTCAATCCGGATGAGCATCGTACCGGCGTGGAGTCGTGTACCACTACCGCGTGATGCACGTTAAAGACCCCAGGCTAGCAGTGGTACAACACTAGCTAAAAGTTTCTCATGTTTTAGTCAGCTCACTGAGGCTGACTGACCTCCAGCCATCTAAAAATACACGCGACAGAAATATTAATTATTTAGAATTTTAAATGCACAGCATCTCCGTCTCCAGTCAAGTTTTTGCACATAGCTGAATTGAAAGAACATTCTCTCAAAATCGCAGCTTACGCCTTCATTTTCAGAGCAATATCACTTCCGCTTGAAAGCAACAAAATATCGGCTGTTCCTTTTGAAACAAAAGTTTTGGGAGTAGTTATTTGTCCTTCTCTCTCTTTTCCTTTTTTTCTTGCACTGGTTGACAAGGGAAGAGAAGGGCACTTCTCTTCTCGTGTAAACCTACACATTTGACATAAAAGCAACATTTTGGGGCTCGATTTATGTCACTGCAGTTTATGGAGCCGTTAGAATCTACCGTAAAATACCGCGCATTTGCCCATTCCACATTAAGCGCCCATTCCCAAATTATTAAGATCTGAGAAAATATGCACAGTAGGTTGATATGTAACACTGATGACCGGACAAGCGCCCATCGCGATTATCTCTATATTTTGAGTGGGCGCTTGTCCGGTATTGTACGGTAGGTTCCTTTTCGAGGTCTGGAGCTAGCGTGCATCTTCCTGCCAAGCCTTGGTTTCCTAAGAGATATTTTCAGAGCATAGTAATTTGGAAAATGGCAAAATTCCATTTGAGAGTTAGAAACAAAATTGGGTTTAACCCGGTTTTTTAAGGAACATCATCAATGTGTAAATATTGAGTTTTACTTCAAAATGGAGGGCCCTACGTAAATAGAGGATGTATTTTTCTAAGACGGAAACTATACAAAAAAAGGACACTAAAAATAAATAATTTCTGCGGAATAACATTATCGATCGAGGTGCACGTTACAGCATAAGTATAAAGAAACAATTAGTGCCTTAATTAACTAAAATTTTCTAACTTTTAAATATTTTCTTAGCTGGCATATTTGAATTGTAGATTTGTATTTGTATCCCGTCATAAATAAAGGCTAGATGAGTTGTCAAATATTAGAATATATTTTATTCTTGAAGTAGTTTTGCGGAAAAACTTAATAATTTGGCACAAAAAAATGGAATTTTTTTTTCTAAATTCAACAACTTAGCTGGCCTACATAATAGGCGGCAAATCTGCAATTAAAATGTGCCAACAAAAATAGAAGTTGGTGAATTTTAGTTAATTAAGCCACTCATTTTTTCTTTACACTTGTGCCCTGATGTCTGCTGTGATAGATAACATCATTTTGCAGAAATAATTTTTTTTTTTTTTTTTTAATTTTCAGTGTTTTTTTTGTTTTGAATAATTTCAGCCTTAGAAAAACAAAACACCCTGTATACTGCAGCATTTACAATCTGAGCTATACACAAAAGGGATAAACATAAAAAAAAAAATTTAGAGATTTGTGCTTGCTCTATTGAGACAACGCATACTTTACACACCTTTGCCAATTTGAAGTTTACCGGAAAGAGAGCGTGAGAATGGGCTCTATTTCTGTTGCGGAAGTTTTTGGAGGGTCTGAGTTTTGTCGTCACTAAATTAGGAAGAAGTTCAAATACTGTTTGAAGCACCTCTCATTATGAAGCATGCCTTGCAATGAGTTTGAGGCATATTCAATCTAGTCTTAACTTACTAAGCTGGTTGCACTCCAAGTGCAGCACTCTGGGATGTTCTAGGGCATAATTGCAACGATTGAATGTGAGGACAGGCAACAAAATTGCTTGTCCCTATTTTGAACTGATGCTTATTTATTTAGAACATACTGCAGGCCTTTTGAAAAGGTCCCTGCAGGTTTTTTATGCCTGAATTTTTTTCATCCTGTCATTGTAAGTTTACTTTATCTGGGCAATGTAGTGGGGAGCATAGGCTAAAGGGACAGTGAAAATGAGGGAGAAAGGCAGGCCATATACATAGAGCAGGACAAGGTTGCAGACTTATAAGATCTGTTGTGCACAGCATGTCCTTCAGGCTCTTTGTCTTTTATGCAAGATGTCTTTTTCTAACCTCTAATTGTTTGTGTAATTCAAAGAAAAGTTGCTGTCCTGCAAGACCAAAAAGTAATGAAGCAATTCTTTTTAGGCTGCTGTGCTATGTAATTGATTGGCATAAAAAAGGCCCGTCCATAAAGGAATTTCAATTTGTTTCTTGTTAATACTATAACTTAATTATAGTATTTTTTCCATGGTAATGCAATTACCGCCATCCCCGACCCAACACTTTGTTACCTTCGATTGCAACATCTTGTTTCCTAGATTCAATTCATAGTTTCCTTTAGTTCACTCAAATATACCCTCTGTTTTCGCTTCAACTGTACTGTGCAGAAGGGTGTTGTGGGCATTAGGAAAGAAGAGAACGTCACTTTGAGGACTACATTGTCTGGGATTTCCATTTGGGTGTGTGGCATTATGGCAACACTATTATTAGAAGTGCACTCGCGACTTCGTTGCCGACACTGTCAAATTACCTCCTCAGTCGTTTGTGTTAATTAAGATCAGATCCCTGCACCGGTTTTCTAACGAGAATGCAGCACAGAAAACTCTAGATTACGAGAACGAGATGGTTATGCGTTAACGCGATCTTCACATTTGAGGTACATTAATAAATTTAAATTTATGTCTGTGCACAAGATAATTTAATTATGTCTTTCTTTGGTTAGCGCAATAAAATAAAGCTAAATTTTAGATACTCATGTGAAGGTAAGAAATACACAAAGGCCCCACAACAGAGAGGCCCAAACCAAGTTATGCACCTCCAAAGCCCCGATTGAACTGCAGGAATATTTTTCGACACTGACAATCCGTACAGCGTACCGTTTTCGTAAGGCATTTGCAGCGGTAGACTGCGCGTTTTCTCTGCAACGTTTCACTAATCTCTTGAACTCGTCAGGGTAGCGGCGACAACTGAATTCAATTAGGCGAGGCAAAACGAGTATGGCAAGCTCTTAATTCCATCGCGAGACTGCAAAGGACCGAGCCAACCGTCTAGTCAAACTTTTGCAAAGCGTTCGCGCAGGCCAGCTCCTTGCTTCATTGACAACAAACAACCACAAAACATGTCCCGATCACGAACATGTTTAGAACCGCCGCAATGACATCCCGAGAAAACTGCGACGCAAAACGGATGCGGCGTTTAAACAAAGGCAAACTCCGCACAGCGTCCTTTGTAAGCGCCGATCGCGTCGGCGGCGTCGGAGGTTGGCGTCTGTTTTAATCAAGAGGTGCTGTCAACAGCACGCCCAACCAAGACTTGCCTTCATGTGCGATATGAGGTTCGACGTGGCCCGTCGTGAAGCGCTGATCGACGTGTTGCACACCTTACATATTGCTCTGAAGTTCCCTTCTTCGGGCAGCGGGAATTCGGTGACATAAAACTCGAAAATGGGTGGTCGACCACCGCACCGATTACTCCAACTGTTCATGGTTGCAGACGCTCGCGGACGCTGCTCGTGCTGCTTGTCGTCTGCTTCAATTTTACGGGGGATTCAGCCGATCTTGCGCATTGTGTTTGCGACGCCCGACCTATAGGTTAGCGTGTTTGGTAACGAACGGCTTAACCATAGTAGCTTGCGCCTGTCGAATGTCATTATTGTGTTAGGTTTAGTCGACGCAATGAAGAAGCCATCATTAAATTTCCCCTACGCGAGCTCATTGGCTGTTGAACGAGCGAGTCTCGCCAACGCGCGTTGGAGATCGAGGACGCGCGAGACTGAACTGAGCCAGAAATAACGGCCATTTGGTGGTCGATTTTATGTCTTTTAGGACGGATGGATAAATAGATGCGGGCGGTAGCTTGCGCCATCTAGTCAAGACACCAACAATATGATTTATTCAGTCGCCCTTCTAAACCAATTCCATAGTACATATACGGCTCTGACCAATTCGCTTTCTTACTGCATTTTTCTACCTATCACCAAGCAGTTTGTGATCAGTGGCGTAGCCAGGAATTTTTTTGGGGAGAGGAAAAGGGGGGGGGGGGGGGGGGGCTGTGGGGGCTGGGATGTCCATGGCTTTGGGGGCTTTGGGTGCGGAGAGGGGTGGGGGGTTCGAAGAAAGGGGAGGGGGGGGGGAGGACTGAAGCCCCCCCCCCCCCCCCCCCCTTTTCCCCAGCCCTTTTTTTTTTTCGAGCTTTAAAGAAATATGAAAAATCTCGCGCGAGATTAGAAAAGAAAAAAGAAGAAAAAAAGCATGATTACCCGTTAGCGAAATTCAATATTAATAAACTTTATCACATACATTTTGTTGTTTATTTTTTCCCTTCTTTTTTCTCGGTCCAGCGCGTTTTCTATTGCAGATGCGCTTTTCCTTTTAGCAAGCGGCTGTGCTGCAGTGAAGCGAGGTACACAATTGTGAAGAAAGCACTGCCGATGTCGCTTCTTCGCAGTGCACCAGTGCAGGGTGAGAAACACACTCAACAAAGCTACGTAACCCACGCGACCAAACCACGAGCAGTGAGGAACACTGCAAAACTTTCGAGTACTGTCACTGTTCGATAGGAATATTAAATCGAAAAGTACTTTATTTGAGGTGACAATAGAAAGTTTTGAAAGTTCGTGCAAGTGGACTGTAACAATCAGCCGGTGTAGCGAAGCCTAAGCAATTCGTTTCTGCAAAGCGAAATTAACCTTCGGGGCAACGTTGGCGCAAGTCCCTCGCGTTTTGGTGTAATGTACGTAGGATGTATGCGGGTAGGCATTTTGGCTCAGTTTGGCACAAAATGACGCAACTGCAACATCACTGCGTACCGTCGTCGCCGTCATTTCGCTTATTTTGTTTTGATTTTGTTTTCCGTACAAGCGGTCTGCCCCGCCCCGAGGAAGCACACCGCCACTATGTCGTACTCACTAACCAGCTCGAATAATTCAAACAACTTTCAAATGTAAAAAAAAAAGAAAAAAAAAGAAATGGAGTTTTACATTACAGATTGCGCGACGTGCGTCAGGGCTATCCTAGCCTTTTTGATTATTATTATTATTATTATTATTATTATTATTATTATTATTATTATTATTATTATTATTATTATAGTGCTCTTCATGAGCTACTCCCGAAGGTCGATACTCTGCTGCTTTTGACGCAGACTGTAGATACTTTGAGAGTTAGCCTAAGTGAGATGCACAAGTCACTGAATTTCTTTTCATCGGAATACGACTCTCTCGTGGAGTCATCCAAATCTCTCGACAACGTCATCAAGGAACTTCAAAGCGAAATGAGTACATTGCGTTCTGTCGTGGCCGAGCAAGCAAAGGAAATTCAACAGCTCAAGTCCAACCAGAATGACAGAGATCAAACCAATCGCCTCCCGAACTTGGAAATACGTGGAATTCCATTCAAGTCGAATGAGAAAGTTGCAGATATTATGACTGACCTGGCAGGAAAGTTGAAGATCGATTTTCAACCTGCACATATGATGTCTGCTCAACGTCTGCCGGCCAGAACAGGATCAATACCTCCAATCCGGATTCGTTTCTCCTCAGTCCCATTAAAAGAAACTTGGAGGTCCACTCGGGGAAGCCTAAGATCCATCCCCCTTGAGGATTCCCATCCTCGAATATACTTCAACGACAATCTTACTGACGCGAATAGGAAGCTCTTCTGGATGGCACGCACAAGAGGAAAGGAGAAAGGCTTCAGATACATAAGGGCTCGGCATGGCAAAACTTATGCAAAACAAAATCAAAGCTCAACAGTCCTTCGGATCGCTGACAGTGATGCACTGGAACTAATCAACTAGGTTTTGATGACTAGTTTCTTTCAGTTAAAATACCTTCAATCTTGCTTAAAAATCTTCAACCCTAACTCAAGTTGTTCCTTCAATTTATTTCATGTAAATATCCGAAGCATTAATAAGCACTGGGATGAATTTCTTATCGCTGTTAAGTCCATACTTCCCATAGCTGCAGCGTCTTCATCCTTACGGAAATTAATATTCACAGCAAAAGTGTAAACCAATTCTCCTTGCCTGGTTTTAAAAGCATATTCTACACACGAGACAAGAAACGCGGTGGTGGAATTGCGGTGTTCTTAAAAAACGCGTTGTTTTTTTCGGATGTACAGTTATCGCTCAACTCAGCGGAGACAATAGCACTGCGTATCTTTACTTCTGTCTTTGAAATCTACTTACTTGCCTTCTATAGACCGCATAAAATTTCCGAATTTACCTCTGACCTGCATAAAGGCCTACAAACTTTGCCGAATCATGCATCGCTCTGCCTTGTAGGCGATTTTAACATCGACCTTTTGAAACCTTCCAAATCTTTGGTTTGTCTCTTTTGGCCGATCACGGTATTGAACCTCTGATACTTGCACCCACAAGGGAAGAAATCTTGGGAGACAAGTTAGTGATTTCGGCAATTGACCATACCAATGTAAGATTTTCATCCACTACAACAAATGCGGCAGTTAGATCACACAAACTAGCGGACCATTACTTTGTAGCCTGCCACTTGGAATTTCCAGTTTGCGCTTCAAAACCAATCCCCAAAAAACTTCGTCGTCTTGAACTTGTAGATAAAAAAAAAATTCGATCACTTAATATCTACTTATGATTGGTATACTTTTCAACGATCTGTAGCTCAATCTGACATCTACTCATCCTTTGTGCTACTAATCAAGGAGTTCTCGCAAGCTTCAAAAAGGGTTGTTATGCTAAAGCGAAGGAAAACAAATATCCGCTGGCTAAATACCGAAATACTATCTGCTATAAAACTTAAGGAATTGGCCTGGAAAAGATGTCGCCGCTCGCCTCATAACACCAGCCTACGTGATGACTTCAGAACATTACGGAACAGAGTGAGTGCTCTTATTAGATCTGCGAAGCGGCTCTATTTTCTGAAGCAGTTCACTGACTCTCGATCCAACTCAATTAAAACCTGGTCTTTAATTAACGAATTGCGCGGAGCTACATCGCCTCGTTTAAAAGCAAACAATTTCAATGGTGTTTTTGGACATAGTGCGCAAGCTACGGCCAATATCTTTAACAACTTCTTCGCCTCCTTCTCGGCCAGAGCACGCTCAAATGCCACACCGTCATCTTTTCCAAATTCGAATTCAACTTCCGCATTTCTCCCTAAAATGGCCATTAATGACTTGGAGTCGATCATATTAGGGCTCAAACCTAATAAAGCTCCAGGTCACGATAATATATGTCTTATTGATCTTCGCAGAAATTTAAGGTACATACAGGACACACTTCTTCTTATGTTTAACGAAATAATCGAGACTAGGTCTATTCCAAATGAAATGAAAACTGCCATTGTAAAACCGATTTACAGGGAAGGGCAACGAGATAAAGTAGAAAACTATCGACGAATATCTATTCTATCATGCCTAGTTCAAATATTGGAAAAATTTATTTATAGAACCATGGCTTTTTTCGTTGATAAATATAACATAATAGCTTCTTCTCAATATGGTTTTATTTCAGGACGGGGTACACAAGCACTGCTCGAAACACTCTCTGACAACCTAAATTTAGGTTTTGAACACAACCTGTTTAGCTGTGCATGCTTCCTCGACGTTGCGAAGGCGTTCGACACTGTGAGCCATTAGATTTTGATACAAAAACTTTCTTCTGTTGGTTTCCGGGGACCTTTTCTGTGTCTGTTACAAAATTTTCTGCAAGATCGATCCCAAGTGGTTTTGATCGACGGTGTATACAGTGCCAAAGTTTTCTTAAAAGCGGGTGTTCCTCAAGGTTCAGTTCTTTCTCCTCTTTTATTTAATATATATGTGAATGATATGTCTACCATGGTATCAAACTGTACCCTTTTTCAATATGCGGATGATACACTCCTACTAACGAGTCATCGGTCTTATCATACAGCAATACAAATGCTTCAGGAATGTACACATAAACTCATGGAATGGTTTGAAATTAATCTTATAAACATAAATATCTCCAAAACAAAGCTTGTCTGCTTTCGCAATCCTTTAAAAGTTGTGGTTCTAAATATTCCTTTCTTTCTCCACACATCACACTGTGTAGGATGTCATTGCAGTCCAATTCCTTACTCACAGACGGTGAAATACTTAGGCATCCACTTTGATTCGGACCTTTCATGGAATTCCCATCTGACAATAGTATGTTCAAAACTAAGAAGCGTCCTATATATGCTTACTCTACAAGATTAAGACGTTTTTACCATTCGGAATTTGCAAGCTCTTAGCCTACTCTTTAGGATATAGTATACTTCGGTATGGCATTACAGTTTTCGGCTAATGTTCTGGATTATGGCATAAGAAAGTAAATAATATCTTAAAACGTATTGTACGAGAGGTTAATAACAAACTTGCAACCTCAAACGTGAATGTTTTTCAGGCGTTATCTATGCCCACTTTCGAATCACTGTTTTTGGAATCAGTTATACTAAGTCACTATTGGACAAAAGATTTTAAAGCACCTCGACCTAATTCACGAGAACTTAGAACGGTTTCACGGTTTCTTGTTCCAGTATATTACACCCGCTATGGCAAGAACCTGCGATCTTTTTATGTCTCTCAGATATTGAATTCTTTACCTTCCGAATTCTTCGACTTCACATCCAAAAAGAAACTAAAAAAAAAACCGCTTCGCCATCTTTTATCTACCAACGAGGCATTGTAAACCGTCACAATTTTATTTCACAATTTCTTTTCAGTTCTATAAAGAATGTTGAACACCCGATTTTA